ATTTATTAATTACTTTCTATTGTCATAATCACTTCATTTTATAAAGTTATATATCCCTTTTTTCTTGTAATTCGTAGAGTTTATTTTCTAATGATCTTAATCTCATAATTATGTTTGAGACCACTACAGTTCAGAAAAAATAGATGATATATGACTCTTTTGAAAGTATTCCTTATTTAAAGACCTTCTCAAATATGCAATATTAAAATATAGCAGTTACATTAATGATACACTGATCTTAGTGATAATGACACTATTGAGGAAGTTACCAGTAAGAATATATTTTGTTCACTTTGAATTTAATGAATTAATGCTTTACAATTGTATATGAAAGTAATCCATAAAGAGCCTTGATAATGGGTACAAAATGGCAATCACACATTTAGTCTGTTTTTAAGAGGAAAAAGATTTAGATTGTGAGCTACGTTTCATTGGAGTTTCTGTGAAGATAATAATTAGTTTTGCCCTCCAGTTGTGTTATTTACTATGTGCAATATGATTTCTTGTAGAGAATATTTAATTACATATTTATTAGGATCTTAATAACAAGTTAATATTTCAGTGTTGTCTACAATTCTAAAATAGCTTATAACATGAAGTCATCATTACTATTTAGCTCCATTTCTGGTTAATAATTTTACTTCCAACATGTTTGACTAGGATACAGGAATTATCAAATAATTTTAGATGGCAAAAGAACTTCCACATAGTATATTTTAACACAAATTCCTCTATATCCATGGAATTATTATTGAAATTATCTGTAGCTTTTAGTATTGGTGTGGCCTTGTCAGTACCAAACCCAAGAAGAGCATTAATAAGCTCAGCAAAACTTTTAACATATAATGGCTTAAGAAGATAGATAGTTTATAAAACTGCTGACCAGTTACCATCATTTATGTAATAGGGCAACCCAAACTACCAAACTATTAACTAAATACAAATGTATCTCCAGTAATACTGCATTTGTTTAACATGTTTAGGGATTTTCTGTTGTAGTAGTTGAGGAAATGTTCCTGGTGTCTCTCATTCTTACTTTCAGAAGCATGATCAGTTACCTACATAATATCAGTGGGAATGGGAAAAATAATTTAATTTTATTTATTTACTTTTTTAAGTAGATAGGGATATATGATTACTAATTGAATTCATGCTACTTATTTAGGTAGAGCTAGAGAATGAAACTTTCTTCCCAGGCGCTTAAATTGTGAAATAGGTAAATGTTGTGAAATGTGAATCCAGAGAAATGAAACTATTAAAAGAAATTTGGTTTAAGTTGTGCAGTTGTTTTTTTTTTTTAATGAAGAATGACAGTTGAGGAAGTAATTGAATTGAACTTTCTACATTGTTCCTACAGATACACCAAACCCATTAAAATGAAATACTAATTTCCTTTGATATTTAGCTTGAATTTTGAATACCTGACACTTATTTGTTAAACTTTTCCTTTAAAATATAGTTGTTTATAATTGGTGCACATTTTTGGGGGGCCTGCTTTTATTTGATGCCCTAAATATAATACCAAATTTTGTTTTGAAGTGGTTCCTTTAAATTTTAGTAAAAATTAAATTTTACTAAAAAAGTTTTTTGGTTGGTGTTGGGTTTGTGTGTACGGAGGTGTGTGTCTGTATTTAAATTGAGTTTATTGTCAAATAATATATCTACAGTAAAATACTCTTTTAAAATAAGTGGGAATATAAGCGTCTATGATGTGAACCCTTTTTAACATGTATAGACAATGTTACTTTAAAATCAACATGGTGAGAAAGAGCTGTCAAATTAAGCAAATAATGAAAAAGTTCAGAAGTTGCTTAAAAATAGTAAAGAACTTTAAAAACCACAGAACAACAAAATGCAATTACATTTAATCTGTAGAACATTTTAGACAATAAAAGAATGATGTTTTCAATAGTTTTGTTATAAAAGCCTTTAGAGCCATATCAGTAAATTGTGAATATATGGCTTTAAAGGGGAAATAAATACAGCATAAAAACAAAATATAATTTTGTTTATGAAATCTAAACATGAGTTAGTTTACTATTGTAAAATACTTCAGATTTGGTACAAATGCTAATGCAATGCTTCCCTGGGTTTGTTTTCACTACACTGGCAAGGAAGAACATGAAAATATTCCCTCAAGCTGCATATTCTGCTACTGCGGTTTCTTGTAATGAAAACAACTGTGAGACTTAATATTTGTTAATTTAAATAAATGTTCATGGATTATTTAATATATAAATGCAGTTTTAATTCCGAGAATATTGTGAAAGACCTAGAAAATAAATTATAGGAACTGAAAGTAGCATGGTCACTGTGTGTGTGTTAAACACATAAGATTTATGAAATCCATTTTCAGTAGATGACTTTCAGACTTTTTAAAAGTAAAACTCCCCATTAAAAATGCACTTAACTTGTTTTTCTTATAAGACATGCCAGCTAAAAAACTAATTTTAAAACAAAAAAGGTAAAAGGAGGTTTGTACTTCACTTATTTGAATAGAGTACCTCTTTTCCCTCAAAGATTCCTGAATCACTCTTAAGGATGATTGGTGATGGGCACCCGGACAGAAAAAGAGTCTGTTTTCCTTTGTTTTTGTTTAGTTTCTGTTGAGTAAAGAGATTCTGCCCCAGAGGGATAAAATGGCTCCTTACTTCCAGGATGTTTTTAAAAACATGATTCCTTGACCTTCTGTAGACTTAAATATTTTTATTATTTTGTATGTTAGGTGATCTGCACAATGTTTAATAACTTTTCCTTTATATAAACCAATTGGTTTGGTCATACCACTTTTCCAATTTAAATGTGTGTGTGTGTGTGTGTGTGTGTGTATCTCTATAGTAGAAAAATAGCAGTATAAAATGATAGCACCATCATAGGCACTTAGTTTAAATAAATACAAGATTTTGGAAGCCTTGAAATTAAGATAAAAGAAACAAGGCACCAAACTTTTATAAATACAACACTTTACTGATCTTGTCTACACCAATTTATACAAAAAAGTAATTTTTTGTAATTTTATATATTGAGGGCTTCATGAATGCCCTGTTAGAAGAATGTTCCCATATGTGTCTAACTTGGAAAATACACTTATAAAAACCATGTTGTCTTTAAAATAAAATTTGCACAGTTTTTTTTTATTCTTTGTTTTGCTTTTTCTCAGCAATTGAGTATGATCTTGCCTCTCATTAAAGTGGATTTGCTAAGAAGATATCAAGGACTGTCAAGGAAGGCATTTTCTTAATTTGTATTTTTTAACTTGGGCTATATTAGTTAAAATTTCATAAGTAGTTTATACTTTCATAGTATTGTTTGATACTTTAAAAACTCAAAATGTTTATATTCACTGTGGCTTACCAGTTTTTACTTAATGCTTCTAATGAATTACAAATTCAGTGATTTGGGGATTAATTGTGTAAATTATTCAAATATATGGAAGTATAATTTGCTTTAAAAACATTATATAGGAAAAGTGGTTTCATTATATGCTCTTAAACAGTTTTAAATAATTATTTCACAATGTAATAGATGTTAATTTAAGAAAAAAATAAAATCTTCAGTTAGAAATATGAATAAAAATAGAAAGTGCCCTTTGCTGCAGTAGTTCAGTTGTTTAAAAATATTAAATCTGATATAATTGACTTACTAAAAATAATAATAAGCCTTATCCCAAAAAGAAAAGTTCTTCTTTGGAAATAAATTGTAAAATTACAGAATTGCATTGTTAAATTCAGTTGATTAACTTTGAAAGCCTATATGTTTGACCTTGAAAGTATTTATATTGACCACTAATATCTTTTAAATTATACCTTATTGGTTTAATGCCTTTGACTTTCTCGTCATCCACAGCAAGTAGGAGGATGATGAGAATTTCATTTCATTTTCACTGTCTTAATTTGATGGCGCTATTCTATATAATATTATTTGTTAAAGTGGTTTGTTTGTTTTTACATAGGAATGCACAACTTCTGTTGCGGTTTGGAGAAGTACATTAAATCTTGTTCCTATTCTATGAAGGAACCTTCTGTCTTTTATATTCTGACCTTTCTGTAAGAGTGTTGTTGCCCATTAGAGTATTGAATTAAAGAGAAGAAGAGGGTCTATGATGTGAACCCTTTTTTAAAAGCCATTCACACAAGAGCTAATACATTTTATCATATTAATTATTTTCACTGAAATGTTGGTGTTTAAAAGGAAAGAATTAGAGTCAAATTTCAGATTGACACTTTTAAGAAAAAATATGTATATATATATGTAATTGTACCAGCAACATGCTGGAAGAAGAAAATCAGGGAAGTAACTAGGCAGCCAAATGAGTGTTTCAGCATAAGAAGTAACAGCGTAATGAAGAGAGCACTGATTTCAGAGTCTAAAGGATTTGCTCTGTCTTCAACCCAGGATTACTGAAGGGTTATTGTGAAAACATTTTACAAAATTAGCACAAGCTGTGCAAATACAGGATGTTATTTTGCTTTTGAGGGTGATGAATGCTTATTAGTTATTGCCATATAACTGTTCTCCATATTCTGGTTAGTGATCAACTGGGGTATATTGGCTGTTTTGAAAAATCCTATGATTTCTTACACTGATATTAATCAGAGAGTAAGTCTGGCAAGTTGTCGCAGGAAAGAGAAGGAGATAGATGTGGTAGGCCAGTATTTCCAAAAGAATGCGTTGGTTCGTGGTTAGTTTATAACATTTTGTTCATCCTTGCATAATCCAGAGAGAATATGAAAAATAAATGAACAATGTTTTTGCTTATTCTTGAAATGCAGTAAAAGTTTATCTCTAAGGATATAATTAATGTTCTATCAGGATTTTATTTGCATGTTTTCCAGGACAACCTGCTGTAGTTTTTTTAAATCATTCATCTTACTCATTAAATGAATGAATCAAATGCTTTCAGACTGTGAAACATTTAATATTATAAACTCTGTAAAAGAGCCCTCTTTCCTTCTTCCTTGTACTTTTCATTAATGTTTCGATATCCTCCTTTTATACAGGACTTTGTCTCCCGGGCTAAACTGGCAGTTCAAAACTTAGTACAGAAAGTTGGATTTTTTGGAATTTTGGCCTGTGCTTCAGTAAGTAAATGTATTAAAAGTGAGAAATTCTAGTAAAATATTTAGTTTTCTTAGGTTTTTTTTTGTTTTTAAAGGTATTTGAGTGAACAAAAATGCTATCACTTCTACTGGGTATGTAATTTTATTAATCATTTCTTACTCACCAAATGAGCTGTTTTCTGTTGAATAGGTTCATATTTTATTTATTGATTAGTAAGCATTGCATCATGGTATGATGACTTAAGACCTAAATGGCTTGATTCAGTAAGAACAAGAAACAAAATCCATCCTTCCCATGAAGGATGCCTAATGAATTGCGTTTAACCAAATAACAATGACTTCATTCTTTCCACGGTTATAGATAGGTAGTTGTTTTCCAAAGTTTCAAACATCAGTTAATAAGTAAAAATTCATATAAAACCTGTCTTTAAGGGACATTAACACCTAGGTAGGTAATTGAAATATCTTAGGCAAAGTTAAGGGCATCTTTGGCTATCGTGATTTCAGAAACCATTTGTTAATGTGTGAATTGCAGATTACTGTATTTTGATCCTGGCAATACTAGAAATTTTCATGATCTGACTTCTCTTTTTAATATAGAAGCTCTTTATCACAATATTGATCTCAACTATTTGCACAATAGGTATGTTATAGCATAGTATAATATAGTGGAAAGAATTGGCTTTGGAGTCAGACTTACTTAAGTTCCTAAACCAGTTTTGCCTCTTATTATTATGTGGTCTTCAGGCAGTTTACTCTTTGAGACCTACTTCTCCAATTTTTAAAGTAGGTCAGTAAGACACTCCATTGCAAAGGCTGATGTGAAGATTTAAGATTAATATATGTGAACTAACACAGTACGTAAAACATAAATACTCAATTTTTTGTTACTCATCAGCTTTGAGTCAACCATTGAGTGCCTAGAATAAAGAAATGAAAGATATATTCCCACTCTTCAAGCATCCTGAAGTCTAGTGAGGGAGGCAATCGAAATATAATATGTAAAAGGTACTGTGGAAACCCAGCAGAGTGGGATTAAGCTGAGAGATCTAATGGATAATAATGTCTTTAGTTTAGAGTCTAAGAGAATATGCATGGGAGTCATAGCACCTGGGTTGAAATCCTGCCCTGCTACCATTTATATTGAGTAAATTTCTTAATCTGTCTGCCTTGCTTTTCTTATCTGTAAAATGGGCATAATGATATCATATATCATTGTTTTGGGGGTTAAGTGAGTTGATGATGTAGAAACCTTAGAGAAGTACCAGACAAGTCAAAGCATTCAATAAAAGCTTTCATTATTACTGGAGAAAAGCCACATACCTTTGATTTATTAAAACAAAAAAGACTTATTCTTTGGCACTCATCTATGCCTGTATCCTAACTGCTAAAAATAAACTTTGTATGCTAGCCTGTCTTCTTTATATTTGACTAGGAATAGTCACTATTTAACATAAATCAATAGATCAATTTGTCCTTTTGGGAATTTTTTTTGTAGGGAATTTTTAATACTTAAGTTTAAATATTAAAAATGTATACTTGATTTAAGATAAAAAATTAATTAGTTATTTTGGTGTTAACATTTAAACTTAGATCAGTAAAACTAGTTGAGGGAAAATCTCAAAGCTACTTAATAGTTCTTTTAATTCTAATCTTTCTGTATTTGGTTAGCAGCTGAAAAATTAAATAACATGCACATGTAACAACATGTTCATTGATTATGCTTTTCCGAGAGTATCCAGCATACAGTGAGGCATCCAACAAGTATAACATATTCTAATTTTTATCTACTGTAATTTATGTATCTTGTATACTTTAATTTCCATTTCAACATGAGGTAGAGCCCAATAATAAAGGAAAACAAAATTATAATTCATGGATTTGTGAAGGTCACGTAAGAAAATATAAGAAGTGACAAATGTAAAGCTGTGCAAATGTTATTAGTATTACATGGTCGCTAGACAGATATAATTGCATTCAGCATTTGAATTTGGATGAGAAAAAGAAAGCAGTTATTGGATCCAAGTATTACTAAAAAAGAATACTTGAATTCTAATTTAGTCACAGCAATTTTTTTAAAGAACATATGAGACATATCTTTTAAACAACAAAGCTTTTCTTTGAAATTTCAAAAATGATATCATATAAATTAATTGGCATATAAATGGTTTAGCCAATAGCCAGTAGGACACTGTGCTTCTATGGAAGAAAAATGGATGAAGTGCTCAAAAAGAGCTGGTGGTTTCTTTGTATTTTTATATGAAATTGTCTTTTAGTGTTCTTGAAATGTGAGAATGTTTGGAAAAGGTATTTGTTGTGAATCATGTCTTTGTCTGGAATTGGGTATTCAAAACATCTGAATCTGTGCTCTCATATTTCCACACGTGATTTTCTTTTTAAAGCATAATCACACTGCCCCACAGCCTTGGTCTCTCATAAAATAAAGCACTAATGATTTTTTTTATGTTGGGGGGAAAAAAGCACATTCACCTCTAAATGTATTTCTGAATTTACAAAAAGGTTTTGCTGTAAATGCAAGCACTTTCTAGATGATATGCTTATTTCAGGCCAAAGATTTTTAACCCCAATAACCACTGAAATCATCATAGACTTTCTCTTTATTTATACCTCACATTTGAAAACAGCTACCAAATGGCAAAGTATCTACTGAGTGGGATTAAATTCCTGCAGATCAATTGGCGTCATCCAATTCTAATGTGATAGAAAAAAGGATGGGGCATTAGCCATACATAATATAAGCAAAATGATAGCTAACTTTGCTTTGAACATATTGAACAACAGCCTAAGATGAATGAGACTCAATTTATAGACACTTTAGTATACTTGCCTAACCTTCTGAATAGTCTGGTACTGATCAGGGAGCCCATACTCCTTTGCAGTGTGAAGAAGGCTTAAAGAAGGCTTAAAGTGTAATTCCACATACCTATGGGTGGTAAAATTAAACTGTTCCTTGGGTTATATATGGAAATCCCATTTTAATTTTTTTTTTTAACAGATTCCAAATCCTCTATTTGATCTGGCTGGAATAACATGTGGACACTTTCTTGTACCCTTTTGGACTTTCTTTGGTGCAACCCTGATTGGAAAAGCAATAATTAAAATGCATATCCAGGTAATTATACCCCATTTCCCTGCCTAATGGTGATAAGCCCATTGAAAGACATAGAAATATATTTCCCTTCCTCATTCTATGGCAAATTGTCAAGATCTGGGTTCTGCTGCTATTGGTTAGTAGCTTGCTTAGGTGTTCAACCATGAAAAGTCATTTGGAGGTGGGTCAATTTGGGCAGATTTTCCCTGTCCCTGTGGGAATGTTTGTGGCCCTTTACTGTATTTCTCCATGTTTTCCTTCTTGCCGCCTTTTCCTCCCTCTCTCGCTTCCTCTATTTCACCTTTTGCCTTGTGAAACTGTCTAGCAAACAAAGCTAGTGTTCTTATATTGGAAGATGCACATGATTTTCACATATACAGTCCAAAAATGTCCTATCTTTACTGACCATGAGCTGAGCAAATATTGCCTTTCACAAATTCTACTTCTTTTTAACATACTCTATATAACCCTTCCTCTCAAGGCACCAATATCCTTTACAGAAACCAGCCAGATGTTAGTGTGGGGGAGAATGGGGAAGAAAGGGGTCTCTGAAGAGGTGAAAAGATGTGGGTTGTGGTTAGAAAAGTAAGAGTCTGCTAGTCTTAAAAGCCACTCTTAACAAAACTTTTAGTATAGGGATGTGTCTTTATAAATAGAGGAGAGAAACGAGGCTAAGAACATAAATGAGGGGAGTGGATTGTGCTTCTAGGACTGCTTCTAAGGGCAAATCTCACTAGAGTAAAATGACATTACCCTGGAAAGAATTTCTTAATTAATGAGGTTTACAACAAAAGGGCATTCACCAAAGGAAAGGCAATAGCAGTGAGTAATGGCTATGCCCTGGTGTGATTCCTTAATAGTTAAAAGAATATTATGCCCCAAGTTTCTTAATACCTCTCTACCTCCAGTTCTTAGAAGAGAAGAATGAAACAGGAAAACTTCAGCCACTTCTACCTACCTGCCCAGTTTCTAATACTAGATTTTGGCATTTGGGATGAGTTTATTGAGCCTATCCTCTACTCTCATGCCATAATAATCACTCAGAATTTCAAGGATAGGTTTTTCCTCCTTTAGTGAATATATTTTCTCTCACTTACATTAAGTATATGTTCAATGAACATGGGTTGTTGTTTTTTTTTTGTAATGGAGTGCTAGTTACTGTGGTAAAGATTTATAATAATAGGATTTTTCAAATAAATAATTTTATAGTGTATCAGAAGATAACTTTTTCTTCAGTCTTTTTAGTTCTTTCTGGGGGAAGAAGGAAGCTATCCTTTAGCTTTTTGGAGTCCTTTGAAAGTATTAATACTGAGGAACAATAACAGATTTTTATTCCCTTTATAACAATAACTTCTCTAGGAATCCACAAACTTTATGCATCCTACTTTATGTAGTAACTTTCTATAAATTATAGTAAAATGTATTATGGTAAAATTACCCTACAGTGATAAGGCATGCAACTTATCAGACCTTTAATTATAAAGTATTTTAAAATAGTATACATTTAAAAAAATATCCTCAAATTTTTTCAAGTTACGAGAATACTTAATTTTTTTATAGTACCTTACACGTTAAACCACTTAGTGTAGGTCATCTGATTTTATTATTGTAATCCTGGGATAATGAAATTACTACTCCCATTTTGTATTGTAAAACTTAGAGAAGTTAATAAGTAATAGTTGGCTAAGAAAGTAAGTAACAGCTGGAATTTGAACCTGAGTCTTTCAGCTTCAGATTCAGTGTTCTTTTCATTCTTCTGCATTGCCGTTGTTACTACAAATTATTTATATGACTATAAAGAAACTGAATTGTTTAATGCCTGCTATTAATCAGGATCTGTGCCAGGCAGTTTTGCATTGGTTATCTCAGAACAGTCCTATGAGGTGGTTATTAACTATATTTCGTAGATAGGAGATAAAATACATGCCTAAGGTCCTGGAATTCAAACCAAACTCTATAAAGTTGAAGCTCATTCCTTGTGTTTATGTAAAAGAGAAAAAACAAAGCTGAAATCCATCTATATTTCTGAAAGGAAAGAATCTTGAGTTCCTTCACTAAACTGAGACCATGGGATATGTTTACTGTGTTCCATTATATCATAGGGACATATAAAGGCATGTCACTTGATGTACATTCAGGTAGAGCTCAAGACAACAAACATTTCTCCTTCCTTGGGTAAGCAATATTAGTGAGTAATATAAACTTTTTTTTAAGTTAGGGTAGCATTGATATACAATCTGATGAAGGTTTCACATGAGCAACATTGTGGTTATTACATTCACCCATATTATCAAGTCCCCTTCCCCACCCCATTACAGTCACTGTCCATCAGCGTAGTAAGATGCTATCGAATCACTACTTGTCTTCTCCATGCTATGCTGCCTTCCCTGTGACCTACCTAGAGTAATACAAACATTTAACTATATCTGAAATAACAGGGTTGCAGGAGGGAAACCCCACCACAGATTTTTCTGCGACAGTAAACTTCTCTTCTGGTTCTTTTCTTTCTTTGCTTAGCTTAAACTAGGTAACCTTCCTTAATAAAAACTGTTATTTTTACTGATATCTTGCTATTTGTTAAACTTCCCCTAAAAAACTTCAAGTCAACCCACCTAATGTTAGATAGGGATTTGCCCTTCCTCTGGACAAGTTCAAATCCTCTGCCTATAGAAGGATCCTTAGAAACATTGCCTTTCTCTCAAGTAAAGAAAATGAGAAGTCAGCAACACTCACACATAATACTTCACACACCATGTAATTTACTTGTCTTTTGTTTGGCTCACTGAGGTATTCTTGTGCCCAGAATTAGATTGTAGTAGGCACTCAGTAGATTTTTAATAAATGAATATAAGATTCATCTTTCCTCTGATGCACCCTTCTTTCTCAATGTTTCTTCTTTATTCCTCGTGGTACCCTTAGTCCCCTATACCCATATCTTGTTTCCTTCCTCCTCAACCCTTTCCTTTATTTCCTCTATACACATGGTTGAGTAGGCTGTTTGGTGGTCTGTGCCTTTTGTTTACTTGGTAGAATCCCCGCTCAGACCTCCAGTTTGAACAATTTTGAGACGTATGTTCTTAAATGTCTGACACATTTATGTCTTGCCCAGCACAGTGAAATTTCAAGCTGTTACATATAAAAATGAAAGTCTTCTTTTGTTTTCAAGTAATAAAATTGTCCAGTTATCTGGGCATTGGCTTATTTTGAATGTTAGGAGATGATGATAGGGAAAAGTGATGGTGGTGAAATCACTGAGAGGCAAAACCATGTTTTTTAGTACAATGTTTCTTAGTAAAAGATTTATAGCTCAAGTAACTGGCTTTTAATATGGGTATTTGAAGGACCCCCATATATTAACACTTTTCTCCCTAAATGATCTGTAATAATTGTCTTGTTAGCTTCATAGTCTTCATATATCATTTGTGTAACATTATATATAATAAAATCATCATCCACCTTGTTAACTGTTTGACATTAATATGTGCTTGTTTTTTCCATGAGATAGGTATCTTTTTAAAATTAATGGATGCATAAGCACACCAGAAAAGATTCCAAACTTTTTTTTAGTCCTACTTCCTTACAGGTATCCATCTGTGCCACTGCTAATGTCTCTTTTAACAACAGGACATTGATTAAGAAAAATGTCATTGCTTTTTTGTCTTTTATCTGAAATAACATGCTTTTGTCTAACTTAGCACTCTGTTGGGATTCAAAATGGGTGGATAAAAAGAAGACTATTGTTATTTCAGTTTTCTAACCCTCCTCTTTGGTTGTTTTGTTGCATAGGCTAAAGTTATTATTTAACAAGCAATAAAAAGCATTTAAGAGTTATCGGGAATTTGGAGAATCTAGAATCACTCATATTTAATGAAAGCATTATTATTAATCCTTTAAAGCTAAACTTAATATTACTTTCTTGAATCTCTAATTAATCATACTTATGTGACCTTTTTTTCTCTGAACTTCTATAAACACTGCTTTTACCACTAGTGTCATTTACTCTTTTATCATTTTATATATACTCTTGTACTTACCATCTCTCTCCTATGTATTGAAAATTTTTGTAAATTTCTTCAAGTCATTAAGAAGTATACTTCTCATCTTTGTGTTCCCTAACAACCCTTGATAATGCCTGTACTATATATTATGTTTTGTAACATTTGTTTGAGTTGAGAATATTTGTTACCTATTAGCCCAAAAGGCATCTTTACTTGTAAGTAAGATTAAGGTATGAACATCTTTAACTAATGGAGAGACCTTCAGTAACACCAAATTGAAATTTACTCAGGTCTGATAAAGATCATTAGAAACGTGTTGATGCCTTTGCTTGTACACTGAGCCTGAAAGTCCAGGCTCATTCTGGATCTGAGAATAGAACTTCGATGATACTTCTATAAAGACTTGCTATGATGTACAGTCATCTAAAAATCCTCTGGATTAGATTTTGCCAGTACTCCTGTGATCAGGCTCATCAGCCTTAATTTCAGTGATGGAGGTCCTCTGGGAACCCATGACTTCTGTTATGCACACCATCCTAAGATGCATCAACTGGCCAGCCAGTCTTGGTTTCATGACTCATATTTTTCCCCAGACGTGGTCATGTCTCCTAGTAAGACTAGAGCTGTGCTTAAGGAAAAACATCTTTAAAACACAAAGTAGATAGCATATGTCAGTCATACTGTGTTTTGGGTTTGGGTTTTTTTTTTTTAAGAATTGTAAAAATTACAATTAGGGGCAGCATTTCACTTTTTTAGACTGTTATCAGAATTGTGAATTTATATTTTTTTTTGTTAAGAGAAATACTTCTGTTTTTTCTTTCTTTTTGCAGAAAATCTTCGTTGTAATAACATTCAGCAAACACATAGTGGAACAGATGGTGGCTTTCATTGGGTAAGTAACTCTTTAAGGACTAATATTAATATCATCACTGAATGAGAGGAAATGTATAAAAGACTTTATTGGGATAGAATTTTTGGATCTTTATTTTATGAGAAGGAAAAATCTTCTGTTTTTAAATTGAAGACAACTTTCTTGCCCTAGGGTAGGGAAGGATGAAGCCCAGATTATCCTTGTTTAACTTTAAATCAGACATGTATCAAGTCCTACCATTTTTTACTTAAAAGAAGCTTTGGAGCTTGAGACTGTTACCCCTCCAAAGAAATAAGAAATTTTCTTTATATAAAAGACATGTATGTATCATTACTGTAATGGTGCTTTAGAACAACGCTACGATATTTAGCCAAAATTGGATGCCAGATACACAGTTGCATTTCATTTAAATACAAATCTTATCATAAAATATTAATATTCATTATATAAGTCATGCTAAGATGACATACTATTACCAAAATATGTTAGTTATAAACATATTTCACTAGAGAAGAATTAGGCCATTTGAAAAGGTTGAACTTCTCCAAAGCTTTTATTTTTCTGTTTATGGTAAGACCAGTTTTAACATATGCTTTAAATGATGCCACAGATTTGTGGAATTGACTGATAAAACAGTAAAGAAAGACTCATTGTTTGGTTAATTAAATTAGCTGTCAGCTGGAATGTGAATACTGTCAGATAGTAAATGAAACTGTTTTTATGTAGGAGGCTTTCTTTTCATTTCATAGTATAACTGCTCAGTGGTGGAAAAGTGTTAAGTTAAAGTGCCCTTTATGTAGTTTTAGCCTAAATCTTTATCTTAAAAGCTATTTATCAAATAACACATTTATGAAAATTTTTGCTGTTTAAAAAAAATTGCCACTTGAAGGTGAGTTCATGAGTATTAGTTTCATTATTCTTTAAACCATACCTTGTATATTTACTTTTCATTATTTTTTAAACCATACATTATATATTTACTCTTTTCTATATATATGATATGTTTTATAAGAAAGTAATTTTTAATATTTTCCATTAAGGCTTTAATGTAGTAATTGAGGAAAAACATATTCTTGAGAATATACTCAGTGGAGCCAGTCATTGGTTTTATTACTTCCTAAGCTTATAATTATAAATATGGATTATAGCTTGTACATTAAAATCTAATTACTACAGTTTTTGTTGCCTGAATCCTAACAAGTAAGTGGTTTGCAAGTCACCATATAGTACATTGAAAAAGAAGAAAGGAATATTCTTGTCCCTTATTGTTTAAATACAAAGAAGACATTTCATCTGTTCTTAGAGATTTTCGGCATGAGAGGACTCTGAAGAACGTAGATTTGCTAACTACCACACAGACCCACACATTGTAGGAGTGATTGCACGTAACACCCTTCATTCTTCTTTTCTCCTTTTCCCATATTGAACATTTACAGAAGGAAGTTTTTCAGCTAATTCCACATCCTCATGGCTCCCACCTTGTTTCCCCAGCTTTTGGAGTTTCTAAGAAGTTAGGGTAGTTAACTACCATTCTCATCCACCTGCATCCCGTTTCATTGCCTTCCAATCCATTCTCCATACGCGGTTAGTAACCTTTAAAAAGTCTCAATGTGAGCATCTCACCACGACTGTCCTCACCTTACAGCATCTCGTGTTGAAATCCTTCACTGGTTTTTCCCTTCATTCGTAAGGTAAAGCTAAACCTCCTTGCCATGGTCTCTAGAGCCTTGTTGAGCTGTCCCCTGTACTTTTCTCTGCCTGAGTCTGCTGCTGCTGATCTTTGCTCATCCCTTTACCTTTGCTTTTCCCTTTACCTGCTTCAGGGTTTCTCAACCTCTGCACCATTGTTGTTGGGACCAACCCCTGCATTGTAAGATATTTAACTGCATCATTGTCCATCACTCACTAGATGCCAGTAATGTCTCCCAGTCATGACAATCAGAAATGTCCCTAGATATCATCCAATGTCCCATGGCAAGTATACCCCCTACTACCACCACCAGCCCCTTTGGGAACCACAATATAATGTCCTTTAGGTTTCAGCATTAGTTTGCAAAATGCCTTTTCTGACTAGGTCAAATAACCTCTTTCTTAGGGACATCTGTTCGCTGAAGCATGTACTACATGCACCAACAGTTACGTTTTTACATTTGTGTTTGACAGTTGTAATTTTTACATTTATATTTGTATGTTTATTGTCCTATCACTAACCTGCAGACTTCTTAATGGCAGAGGCTGTACCTAGTTTTGTTCACTGTTGTGTCCTTGGCACCTGGCATATTACTTGACACATAGCAGGTGTTTTATAAATATCTGGTGAATAAATGAACTAATTGGGTACAAATAAAGATTGGGCTAATAAAAATTGGCTAATCGTTTATTTAGCCCAGATTCTTCTGTTTCTCCAGCCATTGGAAATTTCTAAGAAGTATTACTTATCTACAGTAAACAGAAATAAAAATGTCTTTAAGCTTAGGCTAAAGTTAAAGTTAGAATTTCTTATGTTTTTCAAAATCAGTAGTTCTTTTTCTTTAATATCTCTTTTAATAGCTCCTCAAAAAAAATCCAGTGATCCTATCTTTTTAAAGATTGTTTTTGCACAGTTATTCTGATCTCAGATTCTGGTTTTTATTGAATTAGATGGGTGGTGTCATATTATTAAAATTGTTTTCAAGAGACAGATGTTGGAATGTCGTAATATCTTCATCTTTCCCCCAGCACTGTCTACAGAGATTACCTCATCAACTTCTTTTCTAGATAATACATTAAACAGTGTAAATAATCAGATTTGGCAGGTGATAATAATTCTTTATTACTAGATGCCAATGGGTATCTTTTTCATCTTTGCAGGAGTAACACCTTTTTCATCAGATTCTCAAATTGACCTTGACATGATCTGTTTTCTTACATTTTGAAGTAGGAAATACTTTTAAATACAAGCATTCAAATGATAATTAATAAACAGACTCACCAAACCTAGATTGAAAATTAAGTTAAACATGGAAAATGAATTTTTAATAAACCTAAATGTATTTCAGAAAAGAGAAGTAGAAGAGTCAATTGACTCCTTAGATCCATTATTGAATTGAAAATACTGCCTGAAAGTTAAAGTGCCCTTTATGTAGTTTTAGCCTAAATCTTTATCTTAAAAGCTATTTATCAAATAACACATTTATGAAAATTTTTGCTGTTTAAAAAAAATTGCCACTTGAAGGTGAGTTCATGAGTATTAGTTTCATTATTCTTTAAACCATACCTTGTATATTTACTTTTCATTATTTTTTAAACCATACATTATATATTTACTCTTTTCTATATATATGATATGTTTTATAAGAAAGTAATTTTTAATATTTTCCATTAAGGCTTTAATGTAGTAATTGAGGAAAAACATATTCTTGAGAATATACTCAGTGGAGCCAGTCATTGGTTTTATTACTTCCTAAGCTTATAATTATAAATATGGATTATAGCTTGTACATTAAAATCTAATTACTACAGTTTTTGTTGCCTGAATCCTAACAAGTAAGTGGTTTGCAAGTCACCATATAGTACATTGAAAAAGAAGAAAGGAATATTCTTGTCCCTTATTGTTTAAATACAAAGAAGACATTTCATCTGTTCTTAGAGATTTTCGGCATGAGAGGACTCTGAAGAACGTAGATTTGCTAACTACCACACAGACCCACACATTGTAGGAGTGATTGCACGTAACACCCTTCATTCTTCTTTTCTCCTTTTCCCATATTGAACATTTACAGAAGGAAGTTTTTCAGCTAATTCCACATCCTCATGGCTCCCACCTTGTTTCCCCAGCTTTTGGAGTTTCTAAGAAGTTAGGGTAGTTAACTACCATTCTCATCCACCTGCATCCCGTTTCATTGCCTTCCAATCCATTCTCCATACGCGGTTAGTAACCTTTAAAAAGTCTCAATGTGAGCATCTCACCACGACTGTCCTCACCTTACAGCATCTCGTGTTGAAATCCTTCACTGGTTTTTCCCTTCATTCGTAAGGTAAAGCTAAACCTCCTTGCCATGGTCTCTAGAGCCTTGTTGAGCTGTCCCCTGTACTTTTCTCTGCCTGAGTCTGCTGCTGCTGATCTTTGCTCATCCCTTTACCTTTGCTTTTCCCTTTACCTGCTTCAGGGTTTCTCAACCTCTGCACCATTGTTGTTGGGACCAACCCCTGCATTGTAAGATATTTAACTGCATCATTGTCCATCACTCACTAGATGCCAGTAATGTCTCCCAGTCATGACAATCAGAAATGTCCCTAGATATCATCCAATGTCCCATGGCAAGTATACCCCCTACTACCACCACCAGCCCCTTTGGGAACCACAATATAATGTCCTTTAGGTTTCAGCATTAGTTTGCAAAATGCCTTTTCTGACTAGGTCAAATAACCTCTTTCTTAGGGACATCTGTTCGCTGAAGCATGTACTACATGCACCAACAGTTACGTTTTTACATTTGTGTTTGACAGTTGTAATTTTTACATTTATATTTGTATGTTTATTGTCCTATCACTAACCTGCAGACTTCTTAATGGCAGAGGCTGTACCTAGTTTTGTTCACTGTTGTGTCCTTGGCACCTGGCATATTACTTGACACATAGCAGGTGTTTTATAAATATCTGGTGAATAAATGAACTAATTGGGTACAAATAAAGATTGGGCTAATAAAAATTGGCTAATCGTTTATTTAGCCCAGATTCTTCTGTTTCTCCAGCCATTGGAAATTTCTAAGAAGTATTACTTATCTACAGTAAACAGAAATAAAAATGTCTTTAAGCTTAGGCTAAAGTTAAAGTTAGAATTTCTTATGTTTTTCAAAATCAGTAGTTCTTTTTCTTTAATATCTCTTTTAATAGCTCCTCAAAAAAAATCCAGTGATCCTATCTTTTTAAAGATTGTTTTTGCACAGTTATTCTGATCTCAGATTCTGGTTTTTATTGAATTAGATGGGTGGTGTCATATTATTAAAATTGTTTTCAAGAGACAGATGTTGGAATGTCGT